ATTTCTACATAAGGAAAATAAATAACTAAAACCGCTGAACGTTCTGTAAAGCATAACAAACAAAACTTACTTATGAGATAAGAAGTATCATGATATCCATTGAAAATAGCACCAAAAGGTGTAGCGACAATATAGTCATCTTGAGAAAACGAAGACGCTTCTTTAACGATAGTACCATCATAAAACATTATCTTAAAGTCACTCCTTGTTAGTTTAGTGAATCCCGAATTCTCCACAACTCTGAAATTCATAATAGTGTAGAATTCATCTTCTTCAATAAACGTTGAATAATGAGAAGTCAACGGCGAACAAATAAGCGCTTCGATCTGATTACCCTGCATCACAAAACCAAAATCACAAAAGTCGGGAAACCGCAAACATCCATAACAACAAAGGCTAATACATATCTAAAGAAAAGCCAAATCTTATTTCGAACCAATACCTTATCATCAACCAGAAGTAACCCTAGCCCACCCTTTGATATATAGTCATCGGTGTGGAAGCGACGCAAAACCTTAACGTGAACATGCCATCCAACAATTGCAGGGTTCAACCGAGAGAAATCGTTGTAACGTTCAATAGAAGACGATGTGAACCGAGAAGACATATCTGCTCCTATGCGAAAATTCGTTATGCGGCGTAAGATAATGGTCTGCCCACAAGAACGCTTAACAACTAAGTATATATAGGGAACTAACCTAGACAATGAAACGTCGCAGCCCTTTTGTTTTTATGTTCGATTTTCCTTCCTTTGTCAAGACACGTACCGTCGCAACCCTTTTTTTGTTTAATAACATTTTGCGTGACATTTTCCGTTTTATTTTCTTAGCATTTTTATTTAAAGATGGCAATATCCGATGGAATTTCCTTTTATTTAAAACCCAAAATGTATTATAAAAAATATAATTAAAACAAAAAAATTGTCGTAAGCTGAAAGCCCAAAACAGGTAGTAAAAGGAGAGAAAAATCCTAGAATCAAACTAACGAATGTTCTGGAATACTTCGTGATAAACAACATTTTTAGTAGTCTTTTGAGGCTGTCCCCTATCATCTGTTATCAGTATCTTGAGGCCTCTCCTGGATTTCACTACAATATCTCTCGTTATTTTCTATGAATTAGTTCTTAAGATAGATCGTATCTATTTCCTCTTCCTATCTTTCAATACTCATTTCTTTTTTATAAGTTGCATTATTTTTTATTAAATTGAACAAATTATAAGGTTTTTATTCATAAAGTTTTATTAGTGGAGATTTTATTCATAAGGTTTTTTAACAATGTTTTGATGTATTTAAAATTTCTTTATAGACAACAAATCTCATATATATAGACTCATTCCTATTTATAAACATCAGATTCAGACATCACATTTTACACTTTATCTTGGCCAATTGAAAATACAAAATTCTCTTTTCACATATAAAATTCAGCGTATATAATGATTCTAGATAGTATTCTTAGTGTTTCTTTTTCTCAAATGTGTAACATACTAATTCATAAAAATTATCCTAATCTAAAAATATCTTTTTTTTTAATATCCTTGTTATTTCTAATTAAAAACTCTTCCATTTCTAGTTTCCAATTAAAAAATATTATAATTTCCAAATATTCTCAAGTATTATTATTACACATTTTTATTTTTAATTAGATTATTTTATTTTTATTTGTGATGTTTAGAATAGTTTTTCTGTTGTATTTCAAATCACATTAATTTTTTCAATATATGTTAATTTCCTAAACGCTGATTAATATTAATTTTTATCTTTAGGTATTCATTTGTTTTTTTTTCTTAAAACACCACTTTTTAATTTAGAACATTTTATTAATATATCTATATATTATATTAGAGTTATAAATAATAATATGTACTCAATCTTTCTTATTACTTAATTGGTATCATGAATTGATATTTAACACTAAGAAATATATTCTAGAATTTTGAATTTGTATTTTTCAGAAATGAAGTACTTTTTATTTTAAGTAAAAACCTTAAAAAAAAAATTTTAACTCATATTTTCTTTATTCTACTAAATAATTGTAACTCTTAAAAATGATTATTGTGCCATTAAAATATGTGATAAGTTTCTTTTTTCCTATCTCTAACCATTTAAAAATATTTACTCATTATATGTTAAGATATAATTATCTAATTTCCTATTTATTTCTCTAAATAAAATTTTCATATTTTGTATTGTATATTTTCCCTATTTTTTTTGTTGTTGTAAATTACTGTTTTTCTTTAGTAAAAAATAGTAATATAATGTGTGTGAATCAATTTTTGTTTTAATGTTTTTTGTTTCAAAATAAGATATGTGGAGCACACAAAAATGTAAAATATGATTAAATGGATGCTAATGTTTCTTATTTTTCTTTATTCTAGTAAATAATTGTAGCTCTTAAAAATGATTATATGTTAAGTTTCCTTTTCCATATCTCTAATCATTTATGAATATTTACTTATTAAATGTTAAGATATAATTATCTAATTTTATATTTATCCAATCTATATTCAAAATTTTAATATTTTGTGTTATAAGTTTATTTATTTTTTGTTTTAATATTTAATTTATTATTTTGTAAATTATTGTTTTTGTTTAATGAAATATAATAATATAAATTACAAATATGTGAATTAATTATAGTTTTAATGTTTTTTGTTTTAATAAATAAAATATATGAGATCCACACAAAATTAAAATAGGATGACTTGAATGATGATGTGGACACCCTAGATGGAGAGACAACTCTCCCATTATATATATAGATTATGTATCATAATTTAGTACTAGTTTTTATGATAACAACTGATAAGAAAATTGATCAAAAAAGTCATAAAGAGAAATTTGTAATGTGATTTATGAAATTTTTTTATTATTATATTATATTGTTGGTTAAATAACACTAATCACATATTTTTAAAAATCACTAAATTATAAAATTCTTCATTGCCATCTAAATTGTTTTTTTTTTCAAAAAAAGGAACTCTATGATATGAATATATTATTATACTAAAAAAAGAAGAAGAGAAAAATCAAAAGAAAATAAAGTAGAGGAGCAAGAAAAGCAAAGCAGCCGGTCCTTTTCCATTTCCTGAATAATTTGTCTCCGTCTCTACCTTCCATCTCTCTCACCCGCTCTCCTCGGAAACCACAGCGACGGACGATAAAGCTTTTGCCTCTAATTTTACTCCTGAAAATCTGGAATCAGCCGGAGCGAATCTCGAAGCTTATGATCTCAACTTGTGAGGATCCAGTTTTCCATTTTTTTTTTCTTGTATAATAATAATCTCATCAGCTCTTTAAGATTTTCTCCGATCGATTTCGATTTCTCTAAGGTTTGAGTCGATTAAAATCATATGCTTATACGGTTTCTCGCCAGAAAATGATCGATTCTCTCGTTTATTTCAATAGCCTCAGATGATTGAAGATGATAATTCAACAGTTAATAACGCTTCTCTTTTTTCAGTGGTCACCTTTGTTTTGATCTCTGTTTTGTTGTCCTTTAACTCATCTTTTATGAGCTTAGCCATGTTTGAAGCTAGATCTGCCCTTAACTCTGTTTTTTTTTGTTGTTTTTGGTTTGAAGATTTCTTCTTTCTAACTTATTTTAGGCTGAAGAGGCTGGGAATGGCTGGTAAAGAGGAGACTAATGTATCTGCACAAGGGTCTTTAACCAGGGAAGCTACTGAGATATGGAAGAGTGAGTTGGAATCTCGTCGGTTGCAGGTAGATAGTTTAGAAGCTGAACTTGTGGATGTCAAGGCTTACCTTGAGTTTGGTTCAGAAGAAGATGCCAGAAAGGAATTAGGGGTTCTTTCCGGTAGGGTCAGATCGACTGCAACTATGTTGCGGTATTTGAGATCAAAAGCTAGAATCTTGGCCATTCCTGATGATCTACCAAATGTGTCATGTGGTGTGGAACAGATTGAACTGAAAGGATTGAACTTTCTTGAGAAAGATGGTGGTTCATCTTCTTCTGGAGGGGCTAGCAACACTAGTCCTGAAACTAGAAGGTACCGTGGTTCCTTGGGTATAGAGGATGGAGCCTATACTAATGAGATGCTCCAATCCATAGAGATGGTTACTGATGTGCTGGACTCTCTTGTGAGGAGGGTTACCGCAGCAGAATCTGAGACGGCTGTTCAAAAAGAGAGGGCACTTTTGGGAGAGGAAGAAATCAGTAGGAAGACAATCCAGATCGAAAATTTGTCCTTGAAGTTAGAAGAGATGGAACGATTTGCTTATGGGACTAATAGTGTTCTAAACGAAATGCGGGAAAGGATTGAGGAATTAGTTGAAGAGACGATGAGGCAGAGGGAAAAAGCTGTGGAAAATGAAGAGGAGCTGTGTCGTGTGAAGAGAGAGTTCGAGTCGCTTAAAAGCTATGTCAGTACTTTTACCAATGTTAGAGAAACACTTCTTTCGTCCGAGAGACAATTCAAAACCATCGAGGAGCTCTTTGAACGGTCAGTCTCATATCTTCTTAATGAAACTGTTTCATCCCTCCTTAACCACCAAAGTTTAATCTTTTCTTCACCACTCCACAATTTGTCTCCAATTTTCCAATTTTTTTGTTAATGGTGAAGCAGGCTGGTCACTAAGACAACACAATTAGAAGGCGAGAAGGCACAAAAGGAGGTTGAAGTTCAGAAACTGATGGAGGAGAATGTGAAATTGACAGCACTTCTCGACAAGAAAGAGGCTCAGCTTCTAGCTTTGAATGAACAATGCAAAGTTATGGCTTTGAGTGCATCAAACATATGAATTTGCTATATCTTTGCATCAAACATATGAATTTCTTGAGACAATTCTTTCGCAGAAGATAGATGATGCAATCTTCTTCCTTCATTGTTTTTTGCTTCAAATGTGACATTGTAATTTTTATCTGTAGATTATTATGGTTCATGCATAAAACTAGAATGTTCTATCTTTGGTTCTTACTCCAAAACGGCAAGTAATTCTTACGTCTGTGTATCAGACGGCAAGAGTTTTAAACATTTTGCCATCGTGGCAAATTTGTGCATGACGTGGCAAATAGAATCAGCCAACGTCTTTTATCCACGTGTAAATACGATCGCTCTGTTTCGTAGACTTCTTGTGTTGAAGAAGTTTCTCTCTAAAACCCCAAATCTATTTTCCCTCCTTAGCGAGAAATTAATCGGAGAAAGAAAAAACTGAGACTAGTGCGATTTTGAGCAATTTCTTCGTTTCCATGGAGTCTGATATCGAGATTTTTTCTGAAGCTGATGCGTCTATGCAGAAGCTACGCATTTTCGGAATTGATGATCGCGAAGATGAGGTATTTTTGTTCTGTTCTCGATAAACCCTAAAAATGCCACCTTTGATTCTTTCTCCGATGATAGATTTTTAGGTTTTCGTTTTCGTTGTTATTTTTCTGGAAAAGAATGTGGTGGAGTTGTAGGTAGTTGCTAAGGTCTTCAATTCTGCTTGAAACTAAAGAAGTCGGACATTTTCTTCGGAAATTTGAAATGTTCTTGTTTCTGATTTTTTTCTTTCTGTGATTTGGTAGAATGGGAGAAGAAGGATCAAAGATGTTGAAGTTTATGTTCCGATTGTGTGTGGATCGATTGCTTTTTATCTTGGAAAGAAAGCCACAGAGTAAGTTTTTTTATCTCTTTTCTTCATGTTACTATTTCTGTGAGTTAGGGTAATGAACTGCAATCTTTGAACTTTTTTGGTTTTATGTTTTCATGAACTAGATATCGAACACATAAGTGGACTGTCTATGTACGTGGAGCTACGAATGAGGATCTTGGTGTGGTTATCAAGCGGGTTATTTTCCATTTACATCCAAGTTTTAAGAACCCAACTAGAGTTGTTGATTCTCCTCCCTTTGCATTGTCTGAGTGTGGTTGGGGAGAATTCAAAATCGACATAACTGTAATCCTCCATACCGATGTCTGTGAAAAGAAGTTGGAGTTGTGAGTTTGTTTCCCTTGCGATTGTGAATTTTCAGTAGATTAAGTTGGTATATACCGATATCTTAGGATCTATTGAACTTCTTTCCAGGTCTCACGTCTTAAAGCTGAACCCGGAGAATGAATATGGTCCTATTCCTAAGTCTATTAAGATACCCGTTGTCGCTGAGTCTTACAATGAAATTGTCTTCCCTGACCCTTTTGAGAGTTTCCTTGCTCGTGTTCATAATCACCCGGCTGTACACATCTCTAACCTTCCAGATGGTTTCAACCTGCCTCCTCCAGGTGCATTCTTGTTCAGATGTCTTGTGAAGCAATAATTATTGCCAGAGGCATGATAATTCTCGCATTGTAATGTTGCAGGAGTTGCTGACACTTATCATCTGATGGAAAAGGGAGACACTAAGGATCATCCACTCAGTCAATGGTTTTTGAAGTTTTCAGAAGTAGAAGAGCTTTTTAAACTTACTGCAGCTCGTAAGAAGGTTTCTACAGCTCAACTTACCTTTCCATTGGTTAGGTTTACCATTTCATAAATTTAATCGGTCTCACATTTTTGAAGAACCCACAATTCAGTTTTAACATAAATGATACAGCTACAAATTCCTCTGCTCAAACTTAAATAGTAGTTAAGACTTTGGGGGGTATACTTGTTTGGCTTTGTCTTGATTTTATAGGATTGTGTTAGAAATTCTTATTAACTGACTGTTTACAATGTAATTATAGGTACAAGCTCATATTGCCAAGCTAAAAAGACAGTTGATCATGGTAGATGGGCAACCTGAAGGACTTCAGCCTTCCTCTGGCTATGAATGTTAATGATCAGACCACAAAAGAGAGGAGTTTGCTCAGAAAGTTTTTGGGATACTGTTAACAAATCTCGATGGGGGGGTTTAAAAACCTGAGATATCTTAATATCAGAACACCTTTTCTAACTGTTAGAACATGTAAAAAGGAACCATTTTGTAGTCAATATCGGTGTGTATACCTACAAAGCACAAGTGCATTTGCTCATTTTGTTTGCTTCTTTGTTTCAAGTTTCTCTCAGACTTAAGCATCACAGGTTTGTTACTCCTATGCTAATGCGGAGCTACTCGTCATTGATGAATTTAACATGATGTTGTCTGACATAGTATCCTAAAGGTAAAGCTCTGTATCTTTCATGTTTTCTTTGTATAGCAGATGGAGGCGGTGCCGAAACCGGTATTTTCCTTTTTCTCTTCTATATATGTAAGTCATCTTCTTATCGTCTACTAATTGTCATTTTCATATAAAGATTGCGTGGGATTTAGGCATTTGCAAGACTCTTGTTTAGTTTTCTAGAAGAGACACATTCACTTGTAATGGGTAGGGACCTGTGACAAAGACGTTTATCAGGCTCTTGTTTAGTGAAATTCAAAATAATCACATGTGAGCTTAGAAGCCGAAAGAGAGAGACAAAGATGTCGAAATCATTGTTTCTCATTGTGGCCATAGAACATGGGAATGAACTTCCCCACTTTAGGGTTATCCAAGAAATGAAACTGGTGGCTCAAAGAAGATGGTGAGGAATATATGTCTGCTTATGTATTATGACACTCTTGGCTTAGTTGTGGTGTTTTAGGCTTTTGGATAGTAGCCACATGGGTGAGTCTTGTGATTTCAAGACAATGGACCCTTCACACTTTACCCTCTTGCCTCTTATTTTTTTCTAATTCCTTACCTTCTTCTTGTTTCTTGCGAGAATTTTAAATTTTATAAACATAGAAAATTTAATTTTAAATTGAAGATATGATAATTTGAATAGAGAGAAAAAGAAAATAGAAGAAGATTTATCTTAAAATTAAATAGAAGGAGGTGTTGGGGCTTTCGGTTGATGTCAACTAAGGAATGAATTGATAATGTCTCCGAGTTACAACCACAACAGGTGTGCCAATTAAATTCAGCCATCTGTCACCATCATCTTACTGTCCCCACTCTTTGATCCCACACCACTCATCTTTTTGACTTTTCTTTACTTGTTATATTTTGTTTTGGGGGTCAAATTTCTTTACTTGTTTTTAATATTTCTTTTCTTCTGCAAAATATTATTATACCTCTTTTGGTTAAATAAAAATAATACAGTTTCTACATTGTTTTGTACTTAATAAAGGTCAGATAGGCTTAAAAGTGAAAGTTGTTCTAGCTAGTAAAACTAAGCCAAATTGATCAACAACATCGTGAAAAGATGAAACAAGCGTCGAGACAAGTTCATGTCCGGATCATGATGAATACGATTCTGCTTTTATTTTTTTAGTTTAACACAAAAATTTGAACAAAACAATATCATTAAGGACGGTGAAGAAGTAGATGAACACAAGGCATCGACCTCGAGGATGGCTTCATAATAAATCAAAAGATTAGGTTCTTGCCTAAAGCATTAATGTTCTAATTTTCACATGGGAACATATATCCTTTATCATTTGTGTTTATTAAAAACTAAATGAAAATTGATAAATAACTGATCATCGTCTTAAGAATATTTCAGAATATGTCTAATTCATGTGGCTTATCACCCTAAATATAACTATTATTGGTGTTGTAAAAACAAATGGTAACAACCAAATCATCTAGGCTCTAATTGGTAACACAAAACTGTACAATATTTTAAGCTGTAAGCTGAAAGTAACGCTTTAAATAAAAAAATTTATATCGCTTTTGTGATTGGTAAATGTCAAAACGGTACACCCCATACTAAAGCTTTATGAGGTTACGATTCAAACCCCTAATATGAGCTTTTAAATGGTCTTTTAAAGTGAAAATAGTTGTAGTTATTCGGTAGTTTCTTCATATATGTCTAGAATAAAAATCTATTTATTGAATACACATTTTTGGTCATTATTGAAAAATTTAAAAGGGTAACTTTATAGAATAGTGTTGTCTTAGATCGTTTACAAAAAAAAAAAAAAAAAAAAAAAGTGTTGTCTTAGATCTAGATGACATTGTTAGAAAAAAAAGAAACAAAATGTACCTCTATGTTTTTTTTGTTGAGGGAAATGGGCATTTATGTATGCTTCAATAATGTCCAAATATTGTAACAAAATAGAAAATACACGTGTAGGTATATGCAAAATAAACACAATGGTTTTGCGATATCTTTTTTCGTCGAGTCCTCCTTATGTATGTATCTCCTCAAGTACGTACTTTTGTTACAGCTTTACAAATCTCTTTTACTTCGTCCGTAATCTATGTACATAATAGAATAGATACATATATGTATCTAACGGGCCGGCCATGGTCTAATTTATATGATATTAAAGGTAAGAGAAGAAAAATGGACATTTATTTTGTAAAATTGTCTAAGTATGTAAAGGCAAAAGGGAGACATTGTAGGGCAATGTTATAGTCCCTACCAAATTTTGTTTTGTATACATTCTTTCACAGTTTTAATTGCATCTCTCTCTTGTCCTTGTTGGCTCTGTCCTCAATGTTTATTTGCCCTTGCCTCCTACATGCCACATGATTTTGCTTTCACAAGAACAAAGAATCCAGGTGTCCTAATGAATCAAAACATGAAATTTGATTGGTTTTAGTTTTTCTACATATATATGATATATGTATGTACAAATCATTGATAATTTCTCTAGATATATGATTAGCTAGGAAGTTCAGTTTCATCGGACTTTAATCTCTTGAAAACATTGTATCCATCCGCCATCTTTAATTGGAAGGCCTAGAGAAACTAGAACTCGAATTCGTGTACATGCTTTGCCACAAACGTATATACAATTTTCCCCTAAAAATATACATACGTGTCTACGTGTGTTTTCATTGATTTTTATCCCAATGCAAAATCACTCCATGTGTTTCAAATGGTTAGTCGTTGATTTTGTGTACAAGAATATATACATATCATCTAATCACTAATTTTATCAACGTCATAACTAATCAACCTAATTATGATCTAAGAAATTACAAATTAACCAAATTATAACAGTTTAGTCTTGTGAATTTATTATCATTTTCATTAAATTATATAGAGCTTCTAATTATTTTTTAATAAACAGTTAATTAAATCACTAGCCCTAAACGGAATGGTATTAATTTTAATTTTATCGTTTGATATTTGGTTGTCAGCATAATTTGATGTTTTGTCCTGATATACATATACATATATATATATACATGCAAATTTAAATGTTATAACATAATTTCTACTATAATATTGTCACTATTTGGTCAACGTCATAAGTAACCAAACCTATTTAATTATAATCAATAACTATTCAAGCCAATTTGATGAACAAAAAGAAAAAACTATACCACCCAATTTTCAAAAGTATAGTGATATACTGCATTAATGATATATCTCTATTAATTTATTAGCCTTCCAAACTGTCCATATAAATACTTATCCATTGTACCTCTTACCTCCATATCATTCTTCAGGCAAAAACTAATTCGACAAAAAAAAAAAAACACAATGGCAATAAAGAGATCGAGCAAAGCAACGTCGTCTCAAGCAGCATCTATTAAGCAAATGGTAAAAAGATGCTCGAGTCTAAGAAAGATGAAGAACGTGAATGGTTGCTACTATAACCAAGAAGATGATCTTCCTCAAGACGTGCCAAAAGGTCATTTTCCCGTTTACGTGGGACCGAACCGAAGTCGGTACATCGTTCCCATCTCGTGGCTAGACCACTCCGAGTTTCAAACGTTGCTCCGACTAGCCGAGGAAGAGTTTGGGTTTGACCATGATATGGGTCTAACCATTCCTTGTGATGAAGTCTTCTTCAGGTCTCTTATCTCCGAGTTTAGATAAAGCCCGATCATAGACAAATCATTATTCTTGAAGAAGAAATCTTTTTATTGGAAAGAAAATTTGAAGCGGAGATCAGTAAATCCAAAAACAAGAACAAACAAGTCATTTTTTAGGATTTTCTGATTAAGATGGAAGAACATGGCTAAAAAGCTTCGTAGGCATTAACCCGTTTGTGGCTTTTTTTCTTTGCTAAATTTATTAGTCATTTTCTCTTTTAAATATTTTGTCTTAGTTGGTGTGGGGTGGGCGACTTTTTCCCTCAAGTCAACGTAAAAGGTTGACCGATGATCTTGAGAGGATTAGCTAGTTAACTTCTACAAATTATTTGGTTATGATTAATCAAGAAATTAATATGTAATTTAACACTCAATAGTTTGGGTGGTTTGTGCTAACGATGTTTATGTGTTATCATCGAGCTAAAATCCGCATAATATATAATGTTGATTTTTTTATATATATAATCCATGGATGCTCCAACAATTCATATAACTCACGTTCTTAACCTTTGACTAAGACTAACTAATCATATTCATGTGTAAACAGCTTTCTATTTCTACGAAAAATGTAGGAAGTACAAAGACGACATGTTGTTTTATATTGATATATCACAGTTTCATTTGACAGAACGAAATAATGATAGAAATATCACTTAACATCCTTATAAAAATAGATAATACTTTTTCTTTTATTAAGAAAAAAGTTGCGAGATAAATCATAAAATACTTGAGTCATATAAAACAATTTGTTTTCTTTTCTTTGTCAACACAAAAGTTTTGCTATACATGTAATGTATTCAGTACTTTATTTGTCGGTGTGTCAATTACCGTATTTGTCTCATTTCCTTTTACATGTAGACGTAACAAGTAGTATTTCAAAAGATTTGTTTATGTATATATATCAATTATATTGAGTCAGATTTTTATGATGAATCATTATGGTCCTACCAAACCCAGTCCCTCCATACATGTGTATCTATGCATGTTTATGGTTGTTACCTAAGCTACAAAACAATTGAAAGAATCTTCTGTAATATTGATGAACTAATTTGATGTCCCATTATGTCTCTCTTAAGAAGAAAATGTGTATTTGACAAGATGGTATGGTACATAGACCACTAAACCATCATGTCCTAACAAATTAGATTGGTGTATCGTTTGCAAAACATGCCACTCACATTCTTCATTCCCTAAAACCAGTCTACTTGATGAGTCTCTCCTCTTTTTGATGAGCTAGTCTCGCACTTTGTTTTATCCATATCGTATTCACGAAACAGTTTATATATAATAACATTTAAAAATGCATTGTCTCCTCAGAAGCTAGCTTGCCCATATTATGTGTTCTTCAAACAATTGTTTATTGTTATTCTAAGACCATATTTATCGGGGCAACTATGGCCCTGTTCTAAGAGTTTTTAAATATTAAAACTGATGAAAAGTTGGGTTTGGGTTAGGAACGCGTTCTCCTGCGAGAACAGTTCGGAGCCATGTTCGTGTGTATGTGGCAGGCCGTCATTGGTCAGGAGATGTGGAAATGGAAAAAGTCTAGGCTTTTCTTTCTTTCTTTCTCTTTCCTCTTACATTATTAATATTTTTTTTCCATTAAGATCAATCTTCAAAGATGCACACTTGCATATGCCCTAAGAGGTTTTTGCATTAAATATGTTATTGTTGACATCATAGATGCTAGTGGATATATCATCGACTCTGCATTAGAATTGCTTAATAATTATATCTAGTTTCATAACATCATCATCATTTTATAATAACATATATCGCAAATTATCATGCGATTATATAGTATTTTCCTCTATATTCAGTTTGATATTAATTTATCCAAAGTTCAAATCAGTTTAAGAAAATATTATAAGTTTTCTAATTTATTCGGTTTTCGTCCGGGTTAAACCAAAATCGAATCTGGATAGGACAAAGTACAAACCGTAGGTTAGTAACATCAAATTTGGGCTTGTCCATATTTGTCTGTTCCGAATCAAGCTTACCCATATTATGTGTTCTCCAAAGAATTGTTTATTACATTTAATATGTTATTGTTGACATCATTAGATGCTAGTGGTACATCATCCACCAAATTAGAATTGCAGAATAATTATATCATATTTCATAACATTATCATCATTTTAGCAACCTATATATTCATCATATGTCTCGTAGTATAATGAGACATAAGATGAATATGTTATAAAGTATCATGATATATCACTTGTTCACATTTTGACGTTTCAAAAAAATTATTTCACTATTTTTTACGATTCAAAATATTCATCAAATTTGCACGTTTTTGAAAAGTGATTACACAATATATACAACTAACATGTATCTACTAAAACTAATTTTCAGTTATTTATAACTATTATGCAGAAATTAGTTTTAGTCAATTATATCTTTTTTTTAAAAAAAAATTCGGTTTTTAATCATTTTTGTTTGGTTTGATTTCGGCTTTACATTCGATTATAGCATCAATTGGCTTTTGGGATATGTTAAAGTCATATCCTTACCATCTTCAACATAATAATGGAGCGTATAATCGACACTTCTCTTTACTATTCTTTGAAAATATGAAAATTAACAATTGATGCCTTTCTAATCTTTTTGCCAAGTGCATAAAGGCCAACGTTTCACATAAGGCAAAGTGTTGCATTCTCATTTATGTTCCAACTTCCGGCTACACAATGTATTGCCTGCAACATCAAATCGATCTTATATATTAGATTATCATGAAAAGGAACACAAATACTTGATAATAATAGTGTAGTGCCTTTCTATATACTTGATAATAATAGTGTGGTTATATATGTTACGTCTTGTGGTTAGTATTACTCGCCTTGAAAACCAAAGGGATTAAATTGGTGACTAACCACTAAAGCTATAATGTGAGTATCGATTCCTTAATTAAGAGGTCAAGATCCATAGTCATTGCGCATCCAATCGTTGGATTGATGGCTCTCTCATTCTCGTTTGGTCGTACCGAGAAAAGTGGAGTTTCATTCTAAGTTATGTGTTAAGACAGACTATGTACATTCTTGCCATATTTTTCATATCTGCGGTACCTAATGATGAATGGAAAACAGATTACATGTAAGTTATGATGTGCATGACTACGACCTAGAATACACAACCATCTGAATAAAAACGAAGATATGATTACTAACATATATAAATTGCAAAGCTGGTTATCGAAAGTTCAGGAACAACATTTGAGACACATTATGAGAGATAACAAAGTGAAATAGGATTGAAAGAGTTTAGCGAGATGAACTGATAAATGCAAATGAAGGCTTTTGATTGTACCTTTCATAGTTTCATGTAGTGGAACAATACTTTCTTGCAATGAATACATACAACTACTACCACCATTGTTCTTTTCATGTTGCTTTGGCAGTTTCAACAGCTCTCGGAGTTGTCTCGTAGTCTTTCGATAAGAGAAGAAGAAATGGGTTCAATGTTCAGTGGAAACAGGATGAGCAAGGAAGAGATGGAGGTGGTGGTGAACAAGGCTAAAGAGATCGTCTCTGCTTACCCCGTTGTTATTTTTCGTTGAAATCTCCCATCTTTTTCATCTAGGTTTTACTCTTTTCTTTCGTGATTGTTAGGGGGCGAATTTGGCCTTTTCAGCCCAAGGCCCAAATTCAGCCCAAGGCCAAGAATAAACGCAAAGGCCCTAATTGGAATGAAGGCCTAAAGCACTCTGAAGGCCCAAATTGGGTTTGAGCCCACGGCGAATAAGGCCTACTATGGATAACCAACCGACTGCGCAAAGTCGAGGGGTAGATTCGTCAAATCATCCCGAAGGACGCCCTACACTGTTCACTATAAATACAGAGGACCAGGTCCTATCACAGAGGGAGGCCACGTAGAGACGCAGGGACGCCGGAACACAGGAGAGCGTACAAAGCTCGTCCCAGAGCTTCTCCGCTCCTCTCCGAGCTCTACGGCTCGTCCTAGAGCTCCTCCGCTCTTTCGCGAGCTCCTCGGCTCACCACAGAACGCATTGGATCTTCTACGAGCTCCTCCGCTCGTCCAGGAACTCTTACGGATCACCCACGAGCTCCTCAGCTCATCCCAGAGCCCCTCGGCTCTTCTACGAGCTCCTCTGCTCGTCCAGGAACTCTTACAGATCGCCCACGTGCTCCTCAGCTCATCCCAGAGCCTCTCGGCTCTTCTAGGAGCTCCTCCGCTTGTCCAGGAACTCTTACGGATCGCCAACGAGCTCTGCAGCTCATCCCAGAGCTCCTCGGCTCTTCTACGAGCTCCTCCGCTCATCTCAGAGCTCCTCGGACCATCAATAATATGAACTATGAACGGCTTGATCCCATCAAAGGGTACATAGGAAACCTTAATTACAAGGTTCAGCTATCAAGACAATCGGAGCATAAGGAGACGCAACTATCAGGATAACCCGAGCTCCTCAGCTCTCCTCTGAGCTCCTCAGCTCGTCCTTAAGCATCAAGCTCGTATTCATTCATCAAGCACATCTTTTTACCATAATCGACCCGTCCCATCTCAGCTTACACAAGGAAGAGACCGTCTTTTAAAGTCCAACCGACCTGCCTAAGTCTCGGGCTCGTTATAATAGAAAGATTCTTCTTACTTCTCTAGAGATCCCCATTTTCGTACTTGTGTGATTTCGTGCATCAACAGTGATTATGATGAATTTGTTGGAAAAATCGGATGAATTGGTCAAAAAGTGAGACTCGGCTTCGTCACTCGATCGAGAGACGCCCAGGGACTGGACGGCCATAGGGAGCTTACTGAGTCTTTCCCATATGGGCGTTGAGTCTGCTTCTATTTGACGCAGAGGCACCATTGGATCATCGTGTGCTTGTTTTGTTGGTGAAATTAGGTCACATGGGTGGAAGTGGAACATAGAGCATCTTATTTTGGTGATTATCATCCAATTCAGAGATGATTAATGGGTTTTACTAGACGATATAGATGTGGTCATGTAGTAGATACTGTTAGATCCAATTCTCAACTTTGGTAGTCTAGAAATCTTTAAAGAAGCTATAGTTTTTTTCGATCATCATGTGTGTGCTTATTGAAGATTGACCTGTGCCAGCTCCTATGACCGATTTTGAGGGGAAAGATGTGCCTTTTGGAATCTTGAAATGAAGTTTTATTTGTTGTTGCTTAGAGTCTTGAGTTTCATCTGTCTAGAACTTAGATTCATATCGACCTCCTTCTTTCCACTTTTTGAGATGTTCCTAATGTTACTCTTGAAGTGTAATGTCTTAGCTCTGATACATGTATTATCTATCGCAGCAAGACATACTGTGGTTATTGCCAGAGGGTGAAGCAGTTACCGACACAACTAGGAGCAACTTTTAAAGTACTTGAGCTCGATGAAATGAGTAAGAAACCAATTCCCTGTCAATACCCGTATATTAGTATTTCTCCATGTACCTGGATTATCTTGATGCTAATTTACAACTAATCTCTACTTAACAGGTGATGGAGGTGAGATCCAATCAGCTTTATCAGAGTGGACTGGACAGAGCACAGTTCCAAACGTCTTCATCAAAGGAAAACACATCGGTGGATGCGATAGTAAGAGAAAAAACTAAACAAATTCTCTACAGCTAATGGAGATTCAGGTCGCCGAAAAGAACTAAATGCATTTTCACGTTACTTGTATATTTTGCAGGAGTGATAGAGACCAACAAGCAGGGTAAGCTTGTGCCTCTACTTACTGAAGCTGGGGCTATTGCCAATAACTCTTGTCAACTTTGAAGAAACTCGAAACTGGTGTGCCGGAAACTTAAAATACAAAAAGAAGTAGAGTGGTGTGTGTTGTGTTTAGATCATGAAAACGAGGTATTGTCACATAACTCAATAAAGAAAGATCCTTCCCGTTGTTTAATACAGAACATCTAAGTGTGCTCTTCATGTTGGTGTGTCGGTTATGTAATAAAACTTGAGTAATCTGCTGTAGTTTCTTACTCTAAATTACTGAACATTGCTCGTTGCATCCCAAAATTCGGAGATTCATTCAATAAATAATGTCGATGTGGTTAATCTAGATTTATTACGGAGTATAGTGCGAAAATCGTAATTTAAGAGAACATGTGGGGTGAATGTGTAAATATTATCTAAAGCCGGTGAAAGAAGAGAAACTGAGGAAACTGAATGAATTTGACCAGTGAGTGTTCAAGCGTCGTAGAAGAAAAGACAAAGTTTTGGTCTTTTGGAAAACCTAGACAGGCCCGTGTAACGGTGTAAGATGGAGATTTGTTCTAAAGATTTATCAAATCAACAACTCCTAAGCTAAAGCAAGTAAGCGAAGCCATTGCTCTCACAAATTAGCCCAAATACTCAATTTTCACCGAAAGTCTTCGAATTTATTCTCCAGTATCAGTTTCTCTGAGAAAAAGTTGTACTTTTGCCAACTCTGAGGAAATCTTTTGTATCTGTATATCAGTCATGGGTTAATCCGATTAAACCCGTGTTGCTTGGTTAGGGTTTAAGAGAATTGCTGCCTTCACCGGTCATGGCTGCAAATCTTGTGTCCTCCTCGGCTTCTTCTTTGGTTCCATCCATTTTCTCACCGTTTCAACCTCGGAGTTCCTTTCAGGTGACAGTTTCTTATTCAATCTTTCTTATTTTCTCCTCAGCATTTAGAATTTCTTCTATGTTGCATCTTTGTTTCATGCTTCCAATGTATTACCTCGACAGATATTTCTCCCAATGTGGTTTGAGAGCTTAGTTGAGACATTGAGAATACTAAAATCAATGTGTTTGCAGTTCTACCTTAGATTTAATTGGGACATCATGCCTAGAAAAAGTCACAACTTCATCTGATCAATATGCTTATTAGGTTATGATAAAATGAAATCAAGTGTCTGTTTCATTTGTTGTTGTTGATGTAGTTATTTATTACCTGCTGTTTCTTGGTCTTGAGAAGCCACCATGTTTATGGATATTTGCTGACATTCACCTTTCTCACACTCCAGTTGCGTTCATCAAGGCATCAGCCTACTCATCTCCTTTGTTACCATTCTCGACACCGTAAAACTGATAAAAGCAAGTTCCTTTCTTTACTTGTAGTTTTTTCGCTTTCGGGTATGAGCTCTGGCTTGTGAGTAAGTCTTCTGATTGCATTTCATCTAATATGAACAGTTAGTTCTCTTCACATTTCCTTCAGAGACCGAAATCCAAGAGAAGTCTTCCGAAAGAAAGCTAATTTGGCTCTTGCAACTTCAGAAGAACAGTTCCAGTACACTGACCAAACACTCGAAAATCCTGAAACAACAAGTCCCCAACTTGGCCCCGAAGCTACACCTCGAGATGGTAGTTCAACTATCCAATACAATGGAAATGACGGAAAACCTGGTTTCATTTCGTTTTACAATCCTCGGAATAAAACAGAGGATATCATTGTCCCTCCTGAATCACAAAGTACATGGGGACGTCTGCTCTGGCTCATTGGTCCTGCAGTCTTAGTCTCCTCTTTCATTTTACCTCCAATTTACTTACGAAGAATAGTCTCAGCAGTTTTTGAAGACTCTTTGCTCACAGGTTCATCTTGCTTCTCCTTTTTGCGATTTACTTCTCACCTTCTGTTCGAAAAATGCAGAGACAAAGCCATTGAATCTTTATTCCTCTATTTGCAGACTTCCTCATCCTGTTCTTCACCGAGGCTCTCTTCTACTGTGGAGTCGCCGCATTTCTTCTGATAATAGACCGCTCAAGAAAAACATCCGGAAAAGTTCCCCAGAACCGAATCAATCCTTCTCAGTTAGGACAAAGAATCTCTTCTGTAGCAACATTAGTGCTGAGTCTCATGATTCCAATGGTGACAATGGGCTTCGTCTGGCCATGGACTGGACCTGCAGCATCAGCTACTCTTGCACCATACCTCGTTGGTATCGTTGTTCAGTTTGCATTCGAACAGTACGCAAGATACCGTAATTTTCCATCATCTCCTATCATCCCCATCATCTTTCAGGTATGTGATCACTCCTTCAATCAACACCGCTCAAAAGATATTTCACTTTAACACACTTTTGAAGGAACTTTTTTGGTTTTGTAGGTATACAGACTTCATCAGCTGAACAGAGCGGCGCAATTAGTAACAGCATTGTCGTTTACGGTTAAAGGAGCAGAGGCAACAGTTAATAATCTGGCAATCAAGAAATCACTGGGTACACTTTTGAATGTGATACAGGTTTTAGGTGTGATTTCAATCTGGTCTATATCAAGCTTCCTCATGTGGTTATCATCTCCTTCCCAAAATCAGTCTTAATGTATGAAACAGCTTTCTTATTACTATTGCAGAGAAGAGAATAACAGATCTGTCTCAAGTTTTTAACAGTTAAAAACTTCACCTTTTTATAAATTTACTTAGGGTCAAATTTACACAATTGAAAGAATAAAGACCTGCTTACAATTTGAGGGTTCTAATGAGTAATGAGAGTGAAGAATTGTCAAAAAAGCATTATCTATTTGTGGTCACTGGCTTTTCTTGCTAAAAATAGCAAAGTACATTAACTTTTGGGGAATGTATCCTTGTCTGAAAAAAAGTCCATAACGTTCTGTTACATGTTAATTTCATTTATTTTGACGGTTTGGTTGCGTAAACTTTTATTCCTAAGTCCCAACATTTTAACTTTCTCAAACATCGATCCTTTGTCTCAGAATATTGTCTCCATCAAAGTACCATAAGTAATCTCCACTTAAAACTTCTCCATCAGGCACAAATTAGTGTTTGAAGTTATACAAAAACTTTGAAATTAATTACTGTTTCAGAAACCAAAGTAACACAGATTAAAGGACGATAAAATATCCTTAGTAAAGATTTTTTGATAGAAAATTGTATGCCAAGGTAAAAAATCGACTTCAATATCACTGAATAGATATTGAAATAACGATCTTTTACACACCGAAGGGTCAAAGATGAAAAAGGCACTTTAAAGATCAATATGTGCAAAAGATGGCCGCTCTGCCTACGAAAACGACATGGCACGCGGATGGAAGATTTTTGCACCATTAAATTATATGATAAAATACACGAATATATTCAAAATATTATTTACGTGGATTCATATATATTCTCATATAGATATATGAATATACCATCTCGTATGAAAAGCTTACTATCTCGACTAAGAAATAGTGAAAAACTGTAACTACTATTAGAATAATGGAACCTCAATGAACTATAGAACACACCAAAAAGAAACAGCATAAATCAAAATATATATTCTAAAAGATTGTTAGATTAATAGAACAAGATCCAGATCTGTTCTCTATCAACAAGACCAAGTACTATCACCAACGTGTAAACAAGAAACGCATGTTTTATACAGTTAGAGAATAGCTAACGCTTAAAAAAGAAAATGAACGAAGAACATGGAAGAAAAGATCGAATCAGGAGGAGACACAAAGGAGGCTTCTAAAGTTTATGAGGATATATGCAAAAGAGGTTTGGTTTATATAGAGAGCCTTGGAAATTAGGTCAATGGTGTTGTCGGTCGACGGAAATATAAATATAAATGGAAATAGACAGAAATTGGAAATAATATAAAAAGGAAATGTTCTAAGAAAAGAAGGAAATCTGTTTGGTCAGTGGGCAGATGACATCTTGAAGGAAAGTGGGATGTTTAGGGCAGCTGCCCCGTGAATTAAACAATTCAACAACTTGTCTGAACAAGGTAACCTCGTGACTCGCAGATGTTCCCGGTTCACTTTGGTTTACAAATCTAATTGTACATTTTAGGTTTCGTTTTGGTTTTCAAGATCTGGTCGATTTGGTTTTCAAAAATCGTTTAAGAAAAATATCAAACAAAGTAAATTGTAACAATTTGATTTTTTTTTTAATACTAAATCAATATATATTTACGAAAATTATAATAAAGAAAATCCTCACAAGTATTTATTAAATATATTAATATTAGAAAAATATTAATTTATAACTAAAAACTATTCTTAAGTGCAAAAGACATCAAATAAACCAAACTAGATGATTTACCCGCACTATGTGCGGGGAGAAATAGTTATATGAAATATATAAATAATTTTTTGGAAACCGATTATATATTATCACATTTGGAATAAGATTTTAAATTAAAATATTGACCAAAGTTTTTTTTTCAAATATCATTCCTATAATTCTGAAATATATTCGAATATTTTTTTGTATTTTAATTAAGATTTTATTTTGGAAACAATTCAATATAAAAACTGAAAAGAGTATGAATAATTATTTTTTAAACGTAATAAAATTTTATTATCCTTTATTATTCTTGATAATTCTATGTAGTTAGGATTGATTTATTGCATATCCCTCATTTTATGAATCAATTTATATTGTTACGATAAGGTATTGGGTTGTAAATAAATTGTAAATAAAATGAGTAAATGACTAATTAAATTGAATAAACCGTGTAAAAGTTTTAATAAATTGATAAGTAAAAATTTGAAAAGAAATAATATTGAAAATAATGAGTAAGCGGATACATTTTTAACATAGATTAATATTAAATATTGTTCATAGTGAATGTGTAATTAATGAAATGTTACTAACTAATTTATGTAAAACTATGTTCCAAATATATTTAAGAAACAAATGGGTTCACATATACATTTAGATGTTTTGTAATTTATAACAAAAAATAGAATGTCATATATGTTAAAATTCTAAATGTTTTTTATAAAACATATAAAAAAATATAAGTACAAAACATATAATAAACATTTATATTATATATTGTTCATCATGATTTATGCTATATACTTTTTACTTGTTCCGTCAATATATATAGTTTTTATTAATTAATTTCCTTCATTAATTGCTAATCTCTTAAATATAGAGGAAAAATATGCATAAGTACCACTAATGGCATTATATGTAATTAGTCTAGTAAATATTGGACAATTATTAAGTTTGCTCAGAGTTTCTCTGGTTGCGACATGTCAGCATGACAGTCTTGTAAATCACACGTGAAGGTAAGGTTTTTTATTTAAAATGCTTCTCAATTAATATATAGGGGATGTTACAACGATTTGATAAATAAACCAAAATGTTCATTGGTTCGTCAAATAAATCAAATTCTACTATGTTAAATTAAACGGAATAAACAATTTACTTAAATATATATTAGAATTAAATATTTTTATAAAAATATGACGACTTTTAACCGATAGACGGGACGGTAGATATCAAATATACCAAAAGTTGCAACGGTTCATCAAATATACCACATATTGCAATGGTTCATCAAATATACTTAAGATTACAATGATTCGTAAAACAAAACCAAAATTGCAATGATTCGTCAAATAAATCAAATGTTGCAACAGTTCAATTAAACGGTTACAATCTCATTTAAAAACATTTTAGTAATTAAAAATTTTAAAATTACAAATAATAATTTATGAAAAGTTATACCGACAATAGATGATTAAATGTTGTAATGATTTATAAAATAAAATTAAAATTGCAATTGTTCGTGAAATAAATTAAATATTGTAATGGTTCAACTAAACGGTTGCAACCATTTTACGAAAAGTTACGATAAAAAGATGCAACCGTAAAAAATATTTATTCGGATTACAACTTTCTCAAAAAAAACATAACGTAAAATAAATATTTTAGTTTAAAAGAAAAATAAACGAAATGTTGCCATATACCAAAACTTGCAACGGTTCGTCAAGTTCGTCAAATAAACTAAAGATTACAACGGTTCGTATAACAAAACCAAAAGTTGCAATAATTGGTCAAATAAACCAAATGTTTCAACGGTTCAATTAAGAGATTACAATCTCATTTAAATATATTTTGGTAATTAGAAATTAAAAATATTAATTTACGAAAAGTTATACCTAGAGAAATGACGGTAGATAATTAGATGTTAAAACAATTTATAAAATAAACTAAAGGTTGCAATTGTTTGGGATATAAACTAAATATATAAATTAAAGGTTGTAATTGTTTGTAAAATAAACTAAATATTGCAGTAATTCGAATAAGAGGTTGTAACTGTTTATAAAGAGTTACAATAAAAAGACGCAACCACAGAAGACATTCGCATTGCAATTTTCTAAAAAACATAACCGTAGAATATATATTTTATGTTAAAATTTTTTTAACAAAAAGTTGCGATTAAAAGACACAACCGTTCAAATGTGCAAAAGACATTTATCGAGATTGCTATTATATATAGATTGGGTTTTCTTCAAAGTTGTTAACATTATTTAACATAAAACTTAAATAAGTGTTAAATTTATATAACAGTTGAAAACAAGTTGAACTTATACACCACAAGACTCACAGACCAAATGACGGGATGCTAAGCTCGATTAGTTTTCGACGTATTGTAAATTTAACACTTAAGTTTTGATAACATTTTGTTAATTAAAAAAGTTTAGTTAAAAATAAAAACATTATTTGTAAAAAAACCTTAAGTGTTAAATTTACAATACGTCGGGAAACAAATTAAACTTATACACCACAAAACTTACGGACTAAAGGACGGGATGCTAAGTTCGGTTAGTTTCCGACGTATTGTAATTCTAACACTTTCAATTTTGAAAACACTTTTTTAATTAAAAAATTTAGTTAAAAATAAAACATTTTACTTAAAACATTATTTGTAAAAAAAAACTTAAGTGTTAAATTTATATAACAGTTGAAAACAAGTTGAACTTATACACCACAAGACTTACGGACCAAAGGACGGGATGCTAAGTTCGGTGAGTTTCCGACGTATTGTAAATTTAACACTTAAGTTTTGAAAATATTTTGTTAATTAAAAAAATCAGTTAAAAATAAAAAATTTTTACTTAAAATATTATTTGTAGAAAAACATTAAGTGTAAATTTACTATACGACGGAAAACAAGTTGAACTTATACACCACAAGACTTACGGACCAAAAGACGGGATGCTAAGCTCGGTTAGTTTCCGACGTATTGTGAATTTAACACTTAAGTTTTGAAAACATTTTGTTTTTTTTTTTTACAACAAACAATAATTTATTCAAATAAAAGATTCTTTACAAATCAAACGTTTTAGCCACATCGGCTTGTGAACAGAGCTTGAATAAAACTCTCCAGTGAAAGAATTGAGACATGCTAAATTATGAGCTATACAATTTCCTGAACGGTAAAAGTAAAAGTAAAAATTACAGAGGAAAATTTAGTTGTCCAATAATCAATGTCTTGAAGTAGATTAACCAAGTCACAGTGGTGGGAGTGCCCATTGATCATGTTGAGAAGAATCTCGCAGTCACCTTCAAATTGAACGCACTTAAACCCCCTTATCCAAGTTTGTTGCATCGCCATCAATAGCGCTTTCGCTTCAGCCTCCAAAGGGGTTGATGAATTCGGAAGTTTAGAAGCGCCCCAAGCTTTTGGATCACCATGAGAATCTCGTATAATCCAGCCTCCGGTACCATGTGAAAATCTTGCGTCAAAACCTGCATCAAAATTGCATTTGACCATCAACGGGTGTGGCCTTGTCCAAGTAGGCGCCATAGGATTCTGGCTTTTTGTGTTTTTATTCGGTAGTTGCTTCTCTCCCAAGTTATTAATCCATTCTTGAATCTCTGTCTGGACTTGTTGAACGATACGTGTCGGACTTTCAGCATATTTGTTGAAGACTAGTTTATTCCGTGCCTTCCATATTTTCCAAAGGAGCCAGAAAGAGAACAATTTTTGATTGGTTGTGAGGGTTTGATTATGATAAAGATCAATGATATAATTAAAGTTCTCTTCCAAATCAGAGGAAAAATGAAGCGCCTGTAATATATTTGATAGATGCCAGGCCATTTTTGCGAAAGAACAACTGAAGAGTACATGGTTTATAGTTTCTTCCTCATCTTGGCAGCGAAGACAGGTAGATCCAATCTGCATTCTGCGAGTAACCAGTCGTGAACAAGTTGGTAGAGCACGTGATATTGATCTCCAAAGCATGTGAAAACATTTTGTTAATTAAAAAATTTAGTTAAAAATAAAAACATTTTACTTAAAATATTATTTGTAAAAAAACCTTAAGTGTTAAATTTACAATAAGGGCATGTTCGTTTGATCATCTGGCATTTCTATCCGGATGGTCCATTTAAATGTTCCATCCAAATGCTCCATCTGAATCTTGTTCGTTTCAATTTTTGGATATTCATTTGGATGGAGCATCTAAATGAACTTTTGTTTGTTTACTTAATTTTTATAAATCTTCATTTGCATCTAGATGACTTTAACAAGAAAATGACTAAAATACCCATACTTTTAATCTAATTGTATTTTAATTTTAATCTTAAATCTATTAATTTAATTATTGCTCTAAAATATATTTACAAATAAATAATTTTAAACTATGATTTTAACATATAAAAATTAATTTTATGGTTTTGGCGGGAAACTATGATTTTACGGTTTTGACGGGAAAATATGATTTGCCGGAAAATATGCTTTTACGGTTTTGGCGGAAAATTTTGATTTAGCGAGAAAATATGAATTTATAGGAAAATTAAGTTTTGTACTTTTGGCGGGAAAATATGATTTCACGGTTTTGGTGGAAAACACAATTCTTCAATTTTTTCGGTTTTGGCGTGAAAACAGAATTCCGTGTTTTGGCGGGAAAATATGATTTCATGGTTTTGGTGGAAAACACAATTCTTCAGTTTTTTCGGTTTTGGCGGGAAAACTATGATTTTGCGGTTTTGGCGGAAAAACATGATTTTGCGGTTTTGGCGGGAAAATATGATTTTATTGTTTTGGCGGGAAAACATGATTTGGCGAAAAATATGATTTTGCGGTTTTGACGAATTCCACAATTTTCTATCAAAAATCATGATTTCACTTTTTTGGCGGGAAAAAACACAATTCCGCAATTTTATGGTTTTGACGGAAAATGAAATCTTTGATTTCACGATTTTTAGAGATTTTTTTTGGTGTAAATATGTGATTTTTAGAATATAAAATGAGAAATCTATAGAAATAAACATTATTTGATATATGATTGTAAATGAAGGTATATTTGTCATTTGTTATTTTTGGCTGAATCATCTCCATCCAAATGCTCCAATCATGTTCATCCAGATGAGTTTGACAAATTTGCCTAAAATTACAAACTCATTCAGATGATCCATCCAACTGATTCATCCAAATGCTCTGTTAAATTGTCAAAAACGAACATCATTCTTCATCCAGATGATCCATCTGAGTGGAGAAACGAACACGGCCTAAGTCGGAAAACAAGTTGAATTTATACACCACAAGACTTACGGACCAAAGGATGGGATGCTAACCTCGGTTAGTTTCCGACGTATTGTAAATTTAACACATAAGTCTTGAAAACATTTTGTTAATTAAAAAATGTAGTTAAATTAAAAATCTTAATTGAAAACTTTTAAATTTAGTTTTAAATCCAAAAAAAATTTAGAAAAATTAAAAAACAGATTTTGGGGACAAAAGCAATAATTAAAAACCTAAAGTAAAAAAGAAGGAAATTAAGATATGTACCAGTTGCTCGTGATATTCGTTGAAACAGAGAGATGAATCTATCATCCTCTGGCGACGTTTGTCCCAGCCATGGAAACACCAACGCTGCTATTGGCTCGTCGCTTTTCACTGCCTCTCTCTTCATTAACCTCTTCCCGCTCTCGCATCCTTCGCCGCCGTCATGGTGCTCTCCTTCGCCGATGTTGACAGAATCCATCGGTGTGAAATTAGGGTAAACAGGATCTGAAATCGATATGGATTTGAACAGAGGATGGAGATCAATCATGAAACGAGATTTCTTTCCGCAAAGATCAATCTTACGGACGATAGTTGTTTGTTGCAGAGATCATCGTCGTGGAGCCACCTCTATAAGAGATTTACAGAGCTTTGTTAAAGAAGAAAACTGCGTAATATTATGCAGACGAGAGAATGAAAGATGGAAGAAATCTTTTGTTTTTGGTGTTGAAGAAGAAGAAGAGAGAAAGAGAGAATTTTGATTTCTTAAGGAAGAAGAGAGAATGAGTGATGTTGGACATTAGGGTTCAAGTATGTATTTATAAGCAAAGGTTCTTCACATTAGAAAAAAAAAAGAAATTTCGATTGTTTCCATTTTTTTTGGCACTTTAATACGTGTATTATTAAATTTGGAATAAAAATATCTGGTTTAATTTCAATTGATTTTTAAAATCGTCGTGTTTTAAAACTTGGTATAATCATACACCCGAGTTAACGACTGTTAACTTTTCTAACGGCATCCCTAACTACGGTTAATACTTAACTCCACATGGTTAATTAGACAAAACCACGGACACTGTTACGCTTTCGCATTCTTCCCCAAATCGATTTGGGATCAGAAACCCTAACTCTCTCTATCTCTTTGAATTTCGAATCGATTTGTCGGAAAACAAGATAATCGATGTGTTAAGTCGCTTGATTGCTTGCGGTTTGGTTAGAATTTGAGTTCAAGGAGTAAGTTTGGTCGCATCGTGATGAGGTATGTAATCGATTTAAGATTTTTAGGGTTCTAGAAATTCTGGGTTTGGGGATTTTTAGGGTCCTAGAAATTCTTGGATCAGTTTTCAACAAATCCTCATGGGCTTCTGGATCATATGATCTCAAAGCATCCATGTTGAATGAGTTTCTAGAACCCTAAAAATCACCAGATACCCCCAAATCCAGAATTTATAGAACCCTAAAAATCTTCTACCAGGATTTTCATTTGTCCATGCCTTTGTCACTGTCGTTGCTTTACCAAAATTGCAAATAGGACCCCATCGACGGCTAATTGAATTTGCATCAGACCCAGAACTTTGGCTCATCATTTTTGTAAAGATGAAGAGAAGATAGAGAGAAATTAGGGTTCTAAGCTCCCAAATCGATTTGGGGAAATTGTATAAGGGCAACAATGTCTTTATTAGGGTCTAATTAACCACGTGGGGTTAAGTATTAACCGTAGTTAGGGATGTCGTTAGAAAAGTTAACAGTCGTTAACTCGGATGTATGATTACACCAAGTTTTAAAACACGACGATTTTAAAAGGCAATTGAAATTATACCAGACATTTTTGCTCCAAATTTAATAACACGCGTATTAAACGATAAAAAAAATAGATGGCGGTTTTTTCGGATTTTTTCCCACGAGTGTTGTAATTTCCTTTTTTTCGACGAGGTTAATAAGTTTGTTTCCATTATTTATGACAATTTGTATGACACAACAAATTTATAAGGCCCATTGAGCATGATTTCTCGCAAGTCGCAAGTCTACTATTGGGCTTAAGCATTAATTAGGCCCAGGCCTAAATTCAGGCTAGAAAGTAGGTCTGGGCAAATAAACCTAACCGAATGTACCGAACCGAAACCGAAGTAAAAAAAACCAAACCGAAAATTTGAAAATAACCGAATGGATACTAAATTCTATAACCGAAATAACCGTAACCGAATCGGTACCGAATCAAAATATTTCGGGTAACCGAAATACCCGAAATACAATTATATTTTCAAAATAATTAGTTATTTATAAACCAAATAATAAAAATACTTAAAAAATATAAAAAAAATAGTAAAAATACTTGAAATAAACCGAAATATATCCAAAAATATCCAAAAATACTCAAAAATAACAGAAATATCCGAAAATATCCTAAACAAAATAACCGAATGGATACTAAATTTTAAAACCGAAAGAACCGGAACCGAACCGAAACCGAACCAAAATTTCAAAATATCCGAAAGGATACTAAATTTTGAAACCGAAAGAACCGAAACCGAATGGACCCAACCGATAACCGAACGGTTAACCGAAAGCCCTGGCCTACTAGAAAGATTCAAGTTTTGTCTCCTTCAAAGAAAGGACTTCAAGTTTTGAGAAATTAATAATAGTAATTGCTCCGAACGACGACGTTTAGAGGTGTTGGTATTAAAAAACCTTTGATTAAACCGCTTGCCTGAAATCTCCTCTCCAATCTCTTCCAATCTCTCCTCTCCTCTCTATCTATCCGCTTAGAGGTGTCAAGCGGGCCGATAGCCCGCGGACTTTGTCCAATTAGCCCACAGCGGGGCGGGCTTGGACATCATTTTTCATGCCCATAAAATAGCGGGCCTCGCGGACAAGCCCATGCGGATTGCGGATTTTTGCGGGTTTTGTCCGCGGATTTGCGGACCGGCCCGCAGACTACAAATATTTAATAAAAATAAATAATTAATATAAATAAATAAATATTTTTACATAATTCTGAAAATATATATGTGAAATATATGAACATATAACGAAATTTAATGTATAAAATTATAAGATTTACAAAAAAATTAATTCTAAGAGTTTTTTTTTTATTGAAAAATTGTTAATTTCAAATTTTAAAAATTGATTTTATTTTTTAATTATTTTTAAAATATTTAAAACTAAGCCCGCGGGCCGGCCCGCTAATCCGTTGGGCTTAGCGGGGAGGGCCTGGACATATTATTTTTGCCCGCGGTCCTAGCGGGCCGGCCTGCCGCGATCTCATAAATTTAAATGCCAATCGTGGGCCGGCCCAGATGGATGCGGGCCGGCCCGTTTGACACCTCTAATCCGCTTCCCCCTTTCTTCTTACCTCTAAAATTCCAATCTTTCTCATTGTTTTTTTTAGGAAAAATCATTGCCAGCTACACGAACTATACGCCAACACATCACCACACATGCAGACTATTTTAATGTTTCGCTAACTACACGAACTATTGGTATTACATACGGACATCCCCGAACTATCATCGGTTATGTGTGCTACACCATAACCATCATTTCCAAATAATATAAATGTCTTGTTAACTACACGAAGTATTTCTTTTTTTTGTCAACTACACGAAGTATTTTCCATCAATTTTTTTTTAAAACTAATAAGTTAAATAAAACCATATAATATATCAATGTAAATTATATATGTACATTATAACTATTCTAACTTTAAAATTTTAATGTAATAAAGACTAAACTAGTTCCATAAAAAATATATGTATTCATTAAAAATTTGTTAATTAACTTAAACCTATAATGAACATGCATAATTTAATTAAGTGACACTTTTAAAAATTTAGTTAAATTAATTTCATATAATACATATGTGTGCATTAAAAATTAGTTAATTAATTTAACTTAAAATTATAAGGGATACTGCATATGTAGAATTTAAACTTTAAAAGTTATAATGCATATATATAATTAACAATAGTGTATTATTTACTTTTAGTTATTTTTTCATTTTGTAATTTTGTTTTAAAAAAATGATGGAAATATTTCCTGTAGTTAATAATACATTTATATTATCTGGAAATGATGGTTATGGTATATATAATTTACATTGATATATTATATAGTTTTATTTAACCTATAGTGATGTATAATTTAACTAAGTGACTATTTTAAATTTTTAACAATTTAATATAATAAATATTAAATTAGTTAAATTAATTTAACTTAAAAGTATAATGCATTAAAAGTTATAATATATATATATATATATATATATATAATTTATAATAGTGTAATATTTACTTTTTAGTTATTTTTTATTTTTAATTACTTTTTTTAAAAAAAAAATTTGATGGAAAATACTTCGTGTAGTTGACAAAAAAAAGAAATACTTCGTGTAGTTAACAAGATATTTATATTATTTGGAAATGATGGTTATGGTGTTGCACACATAACCGATGATAGTTCGGAGATGTCCGTATGTAATACCAATAGTTCGTGTAGTTAGCGAGACATTAAAATAGTCTGTATGTGTGGTGATGTATTGGCGTATAATTCGTGTAGGTGACAATGATTTTTCCTTTTTTTTATATTCCAAGCTTCAAGTTTTTCGTTCGAGGAAATAAGAGAGAGAGGACTTTCTCTCTCTTCTCTCTCTTAATTAATCCTTTAGAGAGAGAAAGTTTCCGGCGAATAATTTTGCACCGGCAACGGCCAGTTTCTTCATTGGCGTTGGCTGACACATGCCCAGCACAGTCGGTTACCTCAACGACGGTGGCTGGTTTTCTCGTCTGGCATCGGTGGATTTATTTTCGCCGTTGGCTAGCTCTTTTCCGGCAGTTTTTGGCTACTACAGCAAAGCTGGCTGGCTTATGTCCGGAATTGTCTGGCTTCCATAGTAGAGATGTCCGGCTTCCCGTCCAGCATCGTCGCGTCTCCATGGCGGCGTATGGCTGGCTTTCGGTTTATCCCTCCACCGACGTAGATCGGTCGCTTTCCTTTGTGTGTCTGTTTTTTTAGTTTGCTTTCAATAATCTCATATGGGCTGTGTTGGTAATTACAGTGTAAGCAATTTCGCTAACTACTGTTCTTTTCCTACCAGTTTTCCATTGAGTTTTAATTTGCAGAAATCAATTCAGGGATCTGAGAATTAGGTTGAAGATAAGAAGTAGAATCCGTCGCTTATTAATCATTGCCAATTCGCTGTTGTATCTTTATTGGAGCCTCTTTGTTTAATACCGGTGAGAAACCCATAAGAATCCATGTTCGATAGTCTTATCGACGGTGATTCCTTCATCGGAATCGAAGCTCCAGCGGCGAAGGTTGAAGTCGGTTTGCTTTCGACTGCTCATCTGACACGTGTTTATGTCTATCTTCAGTTGACTACACGTATTACGGGATAGAGTCAAAATTCAGTTTCTTCTTCTGTAAACGACAGTAGATTCTCTGATGGGCCTCTTGTGGCTTGAGACTTTCTGTAATCTTTTACTGTTGTGGGGCTTTTTAGCCCATGTATAACTGCCTTTGTTTAATAATATTTCCCTCTTGCGAAAAAAAAAAAGCTTCAAGTTTTTCACTAGGGTTCTTGCCCTTTTGCTTCTTTGACAAATTCTGTTCCTTTCTTTCGTATTCTCACGGACGAACAAACCCCAAGAACGAGAGCTCATGATTGAGGTCGGTTCTTCTGCTCAATTTCTACGCAACTGTATTCTAATTTGCAATCTATTTTATGGATTTGGGGTTTTTTTGTTACGGGAACAAAACCCAGGACTTTCCAGGTTTCTTATGGTTGCGCTTTAGATTTTATAGTTTAGTGTAATTTCTTCTGATTTTGGGAATTGGTTGTTGGAGAAGAGTGTTTTTTTTTTCTTATAGCTGAGAGGATTGAAAAATTGAAAATTTATGAATTTGAGCTCGCTAACGAGGTTCTCTTAGTTTGGATTTTGCTCAGCGATTTGTCTATGTAATTGCATTTTGATGTCCTATGGTCGCTACTTGTAATTTTAATCATTTTGGGAGGCTGCAATCATCTAATTTCAATCCTTTCTTCGCCCTCAAATTCAATTCTCGCCGTTTATAGTCCCGCCGTTATTGAGTAGCTAATGTTGTTTTTATGTAATTGATGGACAGATTGTGGCCTTTGAGTAAATGATTCACTGCTCAGCTAGAGACAATTGTGTTGGTAACCCATAAATTGCAGGTATCTTAGACATCGATCTTAAAACTCCTAAACTCTGCGTGTTTTTGTGTTGCTGTAATGGTCATGTCTGAAAATGGTTGATTGAAATCGAAGGGTTTCACTTAAGCTTTGATTAATAGTGTGCTAAGTACTGAAAGTGACGATTTTTTCAATATAATCTTGAATTAGACGTTATTGATATTGATGTTCCCATTGAATCTTGATTTGTGGTAACAAGAATCACCAGGTTCTTGATGTTGATGTTCCCTTTGAATTTTTCAGGAGCAAAAACTCTGATTTTGGAGCATCGTTTGTGTTCTCTTCCCATATTGTTAAACAATTTCGTTTGGTTGGAAACAGATTCAAGAAACTTGCTTCTGGTGGTTAAAGTCTCTCTGCTCAACCTAAGAGATGAAAATGTATGTCCTATCTCATAAATCCATCTTCCATTGTTTTTTTGTTCGATTCCTTCTCTGTTTTTGTTGTCAAAAATTTGGTGTTGGGTATTTGCAGAGTGAAGGCAAATGCAGGAGCACTTACCAATTTCGAAGTGCTTGACTTCTTAAACTCAAGAGGTGCATCAAAAGATACTACAAGAGTTATTGCTCCAATTGCTAGATCAGAATACAAGGTTCTTTTGCCTGCAATATTTCTCTTCTGATTTGGTCTTAGAGTGTTTTTGCTAATTGGAATGATCTTTATAGGTTTATGATTATTTGGTGGAGACTGCTGCTTCCACTCAAACACGAGAGAGCGTTACCAAATTCGCAGACAAGTGCAAAGATTTCAAAGTCGCCAAAGCTGAGATTCTCAATATCATCAATCTCCGGCCTTCCTCTATTGTCGAACTGTTACCGGTTTGTGTTTTTTTTTGTTGTTTCTATCTTATAACACTACCAAATGTCATCAACATTTCTATCATTGCATTTAATTTCTCTTCTTGTTTACAACATTTGTTGATTGTGACTCTCTTGTAGATCATAGAGACACCGGATGATCGAGAAATCGACACAGATGGGATATTAGAGCTTGTGAAGGATTTGCTACCGCTTCTGCCAACAACTGAAACTCATAAAGATAATGACAAAGAAGAAACTGACAACGTTGAACAGTCGTGACTTGCAAATGAAGTTTTGAGTTTGTTATCTTTTAACTATAAGAATTTTTTTATTTTTTATTTTGTAACATCGACTTAACGTTTATATATCAACTATATGGAGTTGCAAGATCCATACTTTTTCTTTCCAAATAAACTGAAATCAAAATTGAATGGGAACCGGTTTTAGGTTATCCAAACCCAACAAACCGAATTTTAACCAACTATAGAAAGAAACTGTAATCACATTGCACAGTTATAACATTAATTAAGATCAATTCTACACTTTTTTTTTTCTTTTCAAAACTAAATCGAATTACATAAATGCAAACGCCAACAGAAAACAATCTAAGCGTTTGGCATAGTTATAAACTTATAATATATCTATTGGCACATTTATTTGGGCTTTGAAGCCCACAAAGCTAAAGAAGGCCGTATAAGCAATAACATAATGTTTTTTATAACATAAACATGCCCAACTTAAGTTTCTTTATGGCCTAGGTTTTACTTTTGCCATAACGACGCCGTTTTACTTGATTCCTTCGCCGTCACCGTGTGGAGCAAATCGTGGTCTCCATCTCCGCCTGAATCATACATACCTCGAAGGAGTTCTTCTAATCCGTTCCGTGAAAGAAGATTAGATGATTAATGAGTATTACAAACAAGCCCAATTAGTTCGCTAAACACCTAATCATCAAATTTTGTTGGTTAAATATGAAAAACTCATAAAAGTTATGGTTAAAGCATTTCATCAAATATCTTTCGCACGAGAAACGCTTAATATCTAGATTTGAGTGATCAAGTCAAAACTACCATTAAGATCAATCTAAACGAAAGAATTAACAATACCAACCTAAATCATCATCATTATCATCATCATCTAACTATTAAATCATCCTAGTCTAGCATTACTCATGATCCAACAATATACTACTCATCAAACATGGTAAAAGATAAAAGAAAAATGTGTAAACATCATGATAAAAGATAACTTTGAAGAATCATTCACTAAGTAGCATATTAAGGTACACCATCACCAAATTAGAATTGCATAATAATTATATCATATTTCATAACATTATCATCATTTTATTTATAAACACATATATTCATCATATGTCTCACAGTATAATGGGACACATTGTTTTTTACCAAATCAAACATGAACCGCAATAACATAATGATTTTTATAACATAAACAGGCCCAACTTAAGTTTCTTTATGGCCTAGGTTTTACTTTTGCCATAACGACGCCGTTTTACTTGATTCCTTCGCCGTCACCGTGTGGAGCAAATCGTGGTCTCCATCTCCGCCTGAATCATACATACCTCGAAGGAGTTCTTCTAATCCGTTCCGTGAAAGAAGATTAGATGATTAATGAGTATTACAAACAAGCCCAATTAGTTCGCTAAACACCTAATCATCAAATTTTGTTGGTTAAATATGAAAAACTCATAAAAGTTATGGTTAAAGCATTTCATCAAATATCTTTCGCACGAGAAACGCTTAATATCTAGATTTGAGTGATCAAGTCAAAACTACCATTAGATCAATCTAAACGAAAGAATTAACAATACCAACCTAAATCATCATCATTATCATCATCATCTAACTATTAAATCATCCTAGTCTAGCATTACTCATGATCCAACAATATACTACTCATCAAACATGGTAAAAGATAAAAGAAAAATGTGTAAACATCAAGATAAAAGATAACTTTGAAGAATCATTCACTAAGTAGCATATTAAGGTACACCATCACCAAATTAGAATTGCATAATAATTATATCATATTTCATAACATTATCATCATTTTATTTATAAACACATATATTCATCATATGTCTCACAGTATAATGGGACACATTGTTTTTTACCAAATCAAACATGAACCGAAATATCTCGTTGAATATTCAAAAAAAAAAAACTCATTTTACCAAATCAAATCAAATTAGAACACTTACTTATAAGGTGTGCTTAAATAAATATACTTCCTAGAACACATTGGGAAGTTATAATATAACTGTCTGCAACTCTTCGATCGATCAAGCATCTATTTTCTTTTGTTCTGTTTCATTAGAGGCTTCAACTGCATTCTTTACACACAGGGCATCGATTCTTCACGACCTCAATGCAATTTTTGTGAAAAAATGAGAACACCGATACTGTTTTATGCATTCATCAAAACCGTCCAATAACTCTTGTAAGGAAATAGTGCACGTCTTTTTCTTCTCCTTTAGATCAATAACTTCTTGTGGTAGGATGTACACTCTTTGGTGTGTAACATCGACTTCAGCATTAAGGTCAGTGAATTGGCCGTCAATCATCACATTTTCTGCCTGGTAAAAGATTGAGTGAAGAACCCGTGCCTGAACCCATTTGGAAGAGATGAGCTTCCTCAAATCTACATGGCTTAGATGAACGCCCGAGTACTCCACCAGCTTTTCAGAAATGAGTCTTTGGTAGTGGATGATCTCCTCTTCGTTGGCTTTCTGATAACTGGTTTTCCTATATGTTCTCAGCTTGCAATGGAGCCCGTTGGCTTTATCATTGCCCTTAACTTGGAGGTTGTTGACATTCACATTAGTCAACTCCATCGGGCCTCACCCAGATTTCCTAAGGAATTCTTGGTGAAGTTTGCCTTGCATCTCGATCATATTCGATGCACATGCACCTTTTAATATCCCCCGATGCACATGCACTTGATTATTTCACCGCAAGATCTTCTGATTGTTTCACTATTTTTTACGATTCATAATATTCATCAAGCTTTCATTTTTGAAAAGTGATGATTACACAATATATACAACTAACATATATGTATCTATTAAAACTAACTTTTCAGTAATTTATAACTATTATGCAGAAAATTTATCGAGTTTAATTTTTTCCGTTAACTATTTAGTTATTCTGGTATCGCGTTATTCATAATATTCATCTAGATTTAGCTTGACAATAATTTATTTTTATTTCAAGTTCCAATTAGCATCTGGCTTAATTTATTTTAGTTGGGCTTTTTGTGATTCTTAACATGGGCTTTTTTCTGGCTTTAAACAAATACTACAGGCTTAGATACTTTTAGCCCATATCATCTAAGTAGAGATCCACTAAGGCCCATTAGGGTTAGAACAACATCAGATTGCAGAATAAAAGGGTTCATTTTCCTCACTCTCAAGTTGGATCTCAAAACCCTAATTTCTAATCATCGCCGTCGAGAGCTTCCATGGGTCGTGTCATCAGAGCTCAACGTAAGGGTGCGGGTTCCGTCTTCAAATCCCACACTCACCACCGCAAAGGTCCGGCTAAGTTCCGTAGCCTCGATTTCGGCGAGCGAAATGGTTACCTCAAGGGCGTCGTGACGGAGATCATCCACGATCCTGGTCGTGGTGCTCCTCTTGCTCGCGTCACTTTCCGTCATCCTTTCCGTTTCAAGAAACAGAAGGAGCTCTTCGTCGCCGCTGAAGGTATGTACACCGGCCAGTTCTTGTACTGCGGTAAGAAAGCTACTCTCGTCGTCGGAAATGTTCTTCCTCTTAGATCTATCCCTGAAGGAGCTGTTGTGTGTAACGTTGAGCACCATGTTGGTGATCGTGGTGTTCTCGCTAGAGCTTCTGGTGATTACGCCATTGTTATTGCTCACAACCCTGACAACGACACTACTAGGTTTGTTTCTGTTATCCAAAATTCTTCAGAGGCTTATAACATTTTCAGATCTGTTGATTGTTTAGTTTAGATTATGGTGATCTGAATCGGATTATTTCGTTAATTAGAAATGCTTATGTATCATTGATTGTTTAGTGTAGATTATGATGATGCTTAATGGAATCGTTTCGTTAATTAGAAATGTGTGTGTGATAGTTCTTGAAGTCTTGAAATCATTTTTGATTGATGAGTTGATTATATGTTTGTGTAGGATTAAGTTGCCATCGGGTTCGAAGAAGATTGTCCCGAGTGGATGCAGGGCTATGATTGGGCAAGTTGCTGGAGGTGGAAGAACTGAGAAGCCGATGCTCAAGGCAGGAAACGCGTACCACAAGTACCGTGTGAAGAGAAACTCATGGCCTAAGGTTCGTGGTGTGGCTATGAATCCAGTGGAGCATCCTCATGGAGGAGGTAACCATCAGCACATCGGTCACGCCAGTACGGTTAGGCGTGATGCACCTCCTGGACAGAAGGTTGGGCTTATTGCTGCAAGGAGGACTGGTCGTCTCAGAGGTCAAGCTGCTGCTTCAGCTGCCAAGGCAGACTAGAGTTAAACATAATAAACTTTGTTTCTCATGTTTTCATTTCAAGTTTTGTTGTCTGTGTTTGCTTTTGAACCTTGTTCTGAAATCCTGAAAGATTTTTATGATAAACCTTTCTCTCTTCTCTCTCAAAAAGCTTATTTTCATTACACACAGTTTTTCGTTTTGTGAATCTTGTTTATATGAAAACAAGCGATCCTAGTATATAAGCGTAACGAGTTGTTTTCTAATACAAAATTTGAGAATCTACAACATGAAAATATCGATGAACACAAAAGTAGGAAGATAGATGAAAGCACAGAGTGTGTTGGATGAATTCCATTATTTGCCTCTCTCACTTCTCAGCTCTGACCTATGTATACTCTTTCTGACCTAATTTCTCCATCATCATTCATGTTTCTTTCCCTTGCTCACCAATCTCTGTTCAATGCTCTGTCATTCTTTTATCCAGTCGGCTCGTTAATCTTTCGTTTTCTCTTTATCTTCTAATAAAGCTTCTTGGTCTTTGTAATCGCTATCTATAGCAACTGGTTAAACCAAATTTGTTTTGCTCCCGGACCATTTTCTGATCTTTGGAACAAAATTTCATTTGCTCATATTCTAGAAGCAAAATAGGTCTTGTTAAAGTCAGAATGTGATAACTTGCAGAAGAATCCATATATCCAAAAACGTTGGCCATGTTATTGAAACTGCCTAAAACGTACTGAACTAATGATATCATTATATATATTAAAAATGCTTTGTATCAAGTAGTCTTTATATTTCATCATATTGTAGAAATTAAGAAGGTTAAGTTACCCATGCATCAAAGCCACAACCACCGGTTTGTTCGTTCGTCTACAGATCCCTAAACCAAGATTTCATATTTGCTCATATCATAGATGCACAT